TCTGTTTACATATGCACTAGCTAGTCCATCTGTCAAAGTTTTTTGCGTTCTTTTGTGAAAATTAAAATTAATATAAAAATGAATATTATGACATTGATTAATGATAATAATAAAAAGATTATTAATAATTAAAAAATAAAGTTCTTAAAATAAATTGTTCATTAAAATTCATTAAATTTTTATATTTTTAAATTTGTTCACATAGTCTTTTATAAATAATAATACATATTAATTAACTAATTAATAGTTATATATTTTGTACCTAAGGTTTTTAGGGTTTCATAAAAAATTTTTTTGTTAAAATCTTTCTATAAAATCATGCCTAAATATTACATAAGATAGGGAAGGGGAGGAGGGATCAAAGAAAATATTACGGTTTATTACACAGGGGTGGGTGGAGGTCTAGAATGGCCAAAATTGTCCTTATGTAATTTATGGATGGCCCCTTATTATCTATTTAATACAATAATTTACAATGATTTATTGATGATTATGCTAATCAGTGGTGTGCGGTGACATTTGATGATAGGGAAGTTGTGTTTCCATAAAAATTTTAAACAAATACTGGAAATGACAAAAATAAACAGTTTATTTATTTTAATTCTAAAATGGATAATTGACTACAAAATAAAGATATAAGAACTTTTTATTGTTTTTTATAAATTATCTATATTTGGCAATTTTTTCTGCAAAGTCATTGATCACATTATCATAAAAATCACTTATCATTGATTCCATCAAAGTATTTAAAAGCTCTTTTTCTATTGAAAGTAACACTAGTGACAACAATCTTTCTTCTGACTGAGGGTTCTTTGTGAATGTATGAGTTCACTTCATGATTTAAAAACTGCGCTCAACAGATGCACTCATAGATGGTATCATAAAAATTAATTATATTAAATCATATAATTCTTTTAGTACATCTTTGTTCACATGATCATTAATTATAATATTTTTTATGTCTAAGAGTGACTTGCCAATATTGTCTGGACATGAATATAAATATTGCAATTCACTACGTAATTTAGATAAATCAAAAAATCTCCATAAAATTTACATAAAGAATTAAAATTCGCTTCGGAAAATTGTTTTTCATAACATTTAAAATTATTAACATCTAAAAGTGATAAAAATTCTAAAGATTTTATATCTGGAAATCTGACAATTTAATTATAATTAAAAGAAAATTATAATTAAATATAGCTTAAAATAAACATACATAAAAATAACATAAAATATTCTTTACTTTTTAAATCTTAAAACAATCCATTTAGTCAAATAGCTCCCTATGAGTGGCTAATGGATAGAATCATTGGAAGCATTACATGATATTTTGGTGTGTAGCATCTATGAGCTAAACCGCGTGAAGTCGGTGCTCTGTAAAGCACATGCACAAATACCTGTAATCTGACTGCTTTACACGATTCAGATATTTTGGCCATGGAAGCTATCCTGTGTTCGACAATGCTGTGTTTCCATTGGGAATACGCATATATGTACAGTATTTATATTCGAATATACAATAGCAATCTTATCATTGTTTTTCACATGTAGTATAGAAATTTGTAATACAAAAAACTTTTGCGATATAAGCGTTAAATTAAACACGTATGTCACTAAATTGACGAGCGCTTTCGACGATACACACTTTCGTCTTCTTCAGGTCATTAGAAGATACTGTATAAGAACCTTTTTTGAATACAAAATTTTTAAAAAAACATTCCAATCCTAACTAACATTTTGGAATACCAGCAACGGTAGAATACAAAAAGATATTTAAATAAAAAGCACGCGCTTATACTGCGCATGCGCTAGACACCTCTATATTGTGGATTTAATTGCGATGTTTTATATAACTGTACAAGCTGATCCACAAAGGGGGCAAATCCAGTGTGGGGGTGTTGCAGGGCCTTAATGCGTTGGTGATGAGGGCTTCCCAGATGTATACGAAATTTTTGTTGTCACAATGTTTTAGTATGACCACATCATTCCACAGAGGAGTATGCTTGTGTTGTAGTACCATTCTGGCGAGTTCTGTGTCATTTTTGCCGTCCCTGATGGAATGTTGATGCTCTAAAATACGGTTAGCTAACATTCTGGTTGTCGCACCAATATAATGGGTGCGACCGCCTAAATCATTCTCTAATGGGACTGAATAAACCCCCAATTTTTCAATGGTGGATAAAGGATCCCTGTTGTTGGACAGCAACCTCCTAAGATTCGACCGCGGAGAGATCGGCAGAAACAAATCATGTCGCCTAAAAATACGACAAATACGGAGAGTGACACGGCCAGAAAATGGTATCGCGGGCAGGACTATTGTGGACTCCTTCGGACGGTGTAGTGTGGTGGCGGGAAAGAGTGATGTTTTTACCTTATTTAAGATGTAATTAAATTTGGCTTTGCTGTAACCCGCCTCATTTATCACCTGGTAGATAATATTAAGTTTGGTGTCAATAGCCGCCTGGTTGGATGATAAGAGGAAGGCCCTTCTTATTAAAGGTGAAATTGCCACATTGACGTAATGTTGCGGTTGATATGCC